GGACTGGTGAAAAATTTTGTATTTTGTGGGTTTCACGGATGGGCGGGGCAAAATGGCTCGCTAGCGCCACCTAGAAAATTGGAAAAAATTAGCCCCTCGTCCACGTTCAACCTACATGCACGAAATTTGGTGGGGACGTGTATCATATCAAGACGCACAAAAAAGCCTCAAGAACCCATACCCTAAACTCGACAGGAGGTCCGCCATTTTGAATTTGGCGGCCATTTTTGGACGATTTACACACTCCGTACTTTAACAAACTCCTCCTAGGGATTTAGTCGGATCGACTTAAAATTTCTGCTGTGCCTTCTAAAGGCATTGACGATGTAAAGTTGTGCTATCTGCGCGTTTTCGTCGATGGGCGTGTCCGTGGCGTCGAAGATTCGCCATGAAACAGGAAGTTGTAGTAACTTGGCTGTAAATGCCCAGATCTGCACGAAATTTTACACATTTGACAAGAGTCCCGCCCTGAACAAATCTACATGCCGACATTCACCCACAGTCATAGCGCCACCTGCTGGCAACAGGAAGTGTCCTTTAACGAAGCAGCCCCCGCCGCTTGTTTGACCGACATGTACGAAATTTCTGTGGTACTTCTACCATGACCAGACGCACAAAAAAGCCTCAAGAACCCATACCCTAAACTCGACAGGAAGTCCGCCATTTTGAATTTGGCGACCGATTTGGGACGATTTACACACTCCGTACTTTAACGAACTCCTCCTAGGGATTTAGTCGGATCAACTTAAAATTTCTGCTGTACCTTCTAAAGGCATTGACGATGTAAAGTTGTGCTATCTGCGCGTTTTCGTCGATGGGCGTGTCCGTGGCGTCGATGATTCGCCATGAAACAGGAAGTTGTAGTAACTTGGCTGTAAATGCCCAGATCTGCACGAAATTTTACACATTTGACAAGAGTCCCGCCCTGAACAAATCTACATGCCGACATTCACCCACAGTCATAGCGCCACCTAGTGGCAACAGGAAGTGTCCTTTAACAAAGCAGCGAAAAATTTCACAGCTGCACCGACTGAGCCGCAGAATATGCAACGCGGCTGCCTCACACCCCAACGCGCTACAGGTGCGAGGGCCCGCCCATCGCTGCTTGCAGCTTTAATTTATTTTTATTTATTTATTTTTTTTTTTTCTGCAAAGTAAGTGCCATTTTCGGGGCCGCAACATGCTCAAAAACTCACCAAATTTGGCACACATGTCAGGACTGGTGAAAAATTTCGTATTTTGTGGGTTTCGCAGATGGGCGGGGCAAAATGGCACGCTAGCGCCACCTAGAAAATTGGAAAAAATTAGCCCCTCGTCCACGTTCAACCTACATGCACGGAATTTGGTGGGGACGTGTATCATATCAAGACACACAAAAAAGCCTCAAGAACCCATACCATAAACTCGACAGGAAGTCCGCCATTTTGAATTTGGCGGCCATTTTTGGACGATTTACACACTCTGTACTTTAACGAACTCCTCCTAGGGATTTAGTCGGATCGACTTCAAATTTCTGCTGTGCCTTCTAAAGGCATTGACAAAGTAAAGTTGTGCTCTCTGCTCGTTTTCATCGATGGGCGTGTCCGTGGCGTCGATGATTCGCCATGAAACAGGAAGTTGTAGTAACTTGGCTGTAAATGCCCAGATCTGCACGAAATTTGACACATTTGACAAGAGTCCCGCCCTGAACAAATCTACATGCCGACATTCACCCTAAGTCGTAGCGCCACCTGCTGGCAATAGGAAGTGACCTTTAACGTAGCAGCCCCCGCCATATGTTTGACCGACATGTACGAAATTTCTGTGGTACATCTACCATGACCAGACGTACAAAAAAGCCTCAAGAACCTATACCCTAAACTCGACAGGAAGTCCGCCATTTTGAATTTGGCGACCGATTTGGGACGATTTACACACTCCGTACTTTAACGAACTCCTCCTAGGGATTTAGTAGGATCAACTTCAAATTTCTGCTGTACCTTCTAAAGGCATTGACGATGTAAAGTTGTGCTATCTGCGCATTTTCGTCGATGGGCGTGTCCGTGGCATCGATGATTCGCAATGAAACAGGAAGTTGTAGTAACTTGGCTGTAAATGCCCAGATCTACACAAAATTTTACACATTTGACAAGAGTCCCGCCCTGAACAAATCTACATGCTGAAATTCACCCACAGTCATAGCGCCACCTAGTGGCAAGAGAAAGTGACTTTTAACGAAGCAGCCCCGGACGCATGTTTGACCGACCTGTACGAAATTTCTGTGGTACATCTACCATTTCCAGACGCACAAAAAAGCCTCAAGAACCCATACCCTAAACTCGACAGGAAGTCTGCCATTGCTAATTTTACCGCAAGTTTTGGATGATTTACTCATTACGTACTTTAACTAACTCCTCCTAGGGATTTAGTCTGATCGACTTCAAATTTCTGCTGTGCCTTCTAAAGGCATTGACGATGTAAAGTTGTGCTATCTGCGTGTTTTCGTCGATGGGGGTGTCCGTGAGGTCGATGATTCGCCATGAAACAGGAAGTTGTCGTAACTTGGCTGTAAATGCCCAGATCTACACAAAATTTTACACATTTGACAGGAGTTCCGCCCTGAACAAATCTACATGCCGACTTTCACCCACAGTCATAGCGCCATCTGCGGGCAACAGGAAGTGACCTTTAATGAAGCAGCCCCCACTGCGTGTTTGACCGACATGCACAAAATTTCTGTGGTACATCTAACATGTCCAGACGCACAGAAAAGCCTCTTGGAGCGATGCCCTAAATTCAACAGGAAGTCGGCCATTTCTAATTTTACCGCCATTTTTGGATGATTTACTCATTACCTACTTTAACGAACTCCTCCTAGGGATTTAGTCGGATCGACTTCAAATTTCTGCTGTGCCTTCTAAAGCCATTGATGATGTAAAGTTGTGCTATCTGTGCATTTTCGTCGATGGGCGTGTCCGTGGCGTCGATGATTCGCCATGAAAAAGGAAGTTGTATTAACTTGGCTGTAAATGCCCAGATCTGCATGAAATTTTACACATTTCACAAGAGTCCCGCCCTGAACAAATCTACATGCCGACATTCACCAACAGTCATAGCGCCACCTGCTGGCAACAGGAATTGACCTTTAATGAAGTGTAGCAAATTCACAGCCGCACCGGCTGAGCTCCAGAATATGCAACGCGGCCGCCTCACAACCCGACGCGCTACAGGTGCGAGGGCCCGCCCATCGCTGCTTGCAGCTTTAATTTTTTTTCTTTTTTCTGCAAAGTAAGCGGCGTTTCCTCGGCCACAACATGCTCAAAAACTCACCAAATTTGGCACGCATGTCAGGACTGGTGAAAAATTTCATATTTTGTGGGTTTCGCGGATGGGCGGGGCAAAATGGCTCGCTAGCACCACCTAGAAAATTGGAAAAAATTAGCCCCTCGTCCACGTTCAACACACATGCACGAAATTTGGTGGGAATGTGTATCATTTCAAGACGCACAAAAAAGCCTTAAAAACTCATACCCTAAACTCGACAGGAAGTCCCCCATTTTTAATTTGGCGGCCATTTTGGGATGATTTACACACTCCATACTTTAACTAACTCCTAGAGATTTAGTCGGATCGACTTCAAATTTCTGCTGTGCCTTCTAAAGGCATTGACGATGTAAAGTTGTGCTATCTGTGCGTTTTCGTCGATTGGCGTGTCCGTGGCGTCGATGATTCACCATGAAGTACCACCATTTTTGGATGATTTACTCATTACGTACTTTAACGAACTCCTCCTAGGGATTTAGTCGGATCGACTTCACATTTCTGCTGTGCTTTCTAAAGGCATTGATGATGAAAAGTTGTGCTATCTGGGCATTTTCGTCGATGGGCGTTTCCGTGGCGTCAATGATTCGCCATGAAATAGGAAGTTGTAGTAACTTGGCTGTAAATGCCCAGATCTGCACGAAATTTTACACATTTGACAAGAGTCCCGCCCTGAACAAACCTACATGCCGACATTCACCCACAGTCATAGCGCCACCTGCTGGCAACAGGAAGTGACCTTTAACGAAGCAGCCCCTGCCGCACGTTTGACCTACATGTACGGAATTTCTGTGGCACATGGACCATGTCCAGATGTACAAAAACGCCTCTTGGAGCAATGCCCTAAAACCAACAGGAAGTCGGCCATTTTGAATTTTCTATCAATTTTTGGGTGATTTGGATGTGTACCAAATTCACAGCCGCACCAGCTGAGCTCCAGAAACGCGGCCGCCTCACACCCTGACGCGCTACAAGGTGTGAGGGCCTGCCCATCGCTGCTTGCAGCTTTAATTTGCTTGTATATCTGCTTGTTACCCCCTTATTACCCCAAACTTAACATACTGTTCCCTTATGCCTACACTGAATTACACTATAATTACAGAAACGTACACCATAATTTCAGTGTACTTACGAAGTTATTTGCAGGTTGTATATCTACTTGTTACCCCTTTATTACCCCAAACTTAACATATTGTTCCCTTATACCTACACGGAAGTACACTATAATTACAGAAACGTACACTGTAATTTTAGTGTACTTACAAAGTTATTTGCAGGTTGTCAATCTGTTTGTTACCCCTTTATTACCCAAAACTTAACTTATTGTTCCCTTATACTTACACGGAAGTTCACTATAATTACAGAAACGTACACCGTAATTTCAGTGTACTTACACAGTTGTTTGCGGGTCGTAAAATAAAGTGTTACCGATTTTTTTGTGAAAAGTATGTGAAAAACATTGTCATTAATATTTTAGAATAGATATAGTGATTAAAGACACTCTACTACTAGATTTACTACAAATGTTCTACTAAAGTCTGCACATGGTCACTCCCTCCTCGCTGTGAACATCCCCAACTTGCATCATAATTGGAATCATGAGAACATAGTTTTTGTGACAGACTGTGAATGTGTCAGGGATTTTTGTTTTTTTTATTCAGAGGGACAAAACCAAAATTGTCCATGGTTTATCTTCTAGTCAAGTTTAGACTTTCATAATATGATGAAAAATATTACATATATCATTATATACTTTTTTGAATCCTGAACAAGAAGGTATGTGCTTTACTAATTTAATTTATTTTACTGTGGGGGATAGGTTATTCCTGTGACCTAGTTTCATTTATTACATTTATTTGTGTTGTCCTTAATGTAACATATTTCACACACACACACACACACACACACACGCACACACACACACACACACACACACACACACACACACACACACACACACACACACACACACACACACATTTGCACATTTTTTATATAATGTTATGTTATCATATTCATCATACAAAATGTCTTTCCTATCTTTTGATTCTTTAATGTCAGTCCTATCTTTTGATTCTTTAATCCTTCTTTTAGTATTTAACATAAGTTAAACATCATGAGACATTTAGTATAGGTTTGAGTATATGAGGGTGAAGGACATTTTTGGAGTGATTAAATTATTAAAGTAATTCAAGAACACTGAATGAATTTGTTTTAGTACACGGTCAGTCACTAATGTAACTGTAGATACTGTTTTGTTTGTCTTTATTGTCAGGCATTTTATCTGTCCCTCACTGATGTTCTGCACACGAGACCATCTGACTTTCTTTACCTCATAGTTTTAGTGAAGCATGTTAACTGCTTTACTGCTTCAGGAGACATTTTTTTCAGGATGATTTTAGGTAAGTTTCAATGTCAACTTTATTTATATATCACCATTAAAAACAATGTTTGTTGACCGAAGTGCTGTACAATATGTAAAAAAACAAAAAACAAACAAACTTAACAACATAACAGATTACAAACAAAATACTACACAAATAAGCTATGATTAAAATCTAGAGAAAATAGATATGTTTTGAGATTTGCTTTATAATCGTGTAGTGTAGGGACAATTCTTTATGCTTTACTCTTTTTAATGTTCGGTCACATAAGACATCTGTTATTAGATGTGCTCCGATCAGGATTTTTGGAGCAGATCACCGATTACTGGAAGCTGTATCACCCGATACTGATACCGATCACCGATTACAGGGTCTATTTGAAGCCTTCTATTTATCATGTAGCATTATTATTAAATTATATTTAACAACAATGTACATTTAAGTATACATGTATTACATGTATTATACATGTATTACATTTAAGAGAAGACAATGTATCATGAATTTACACCTGTGTATTTATTTATTTATTTTTAAGTGCACAGCAACAAAAAAATACAAATAACTAACAACTTCCATATCTGTATATATCTATAACATTGCTTTTTTCTGGGATGCTTAGTTAGATTTTGTGGGCATTTAGAGAGGAAGAGAGAGATAGAGAAAGAGACAGTAGAGATTATTAGATTAAAGGGGTGGTTGATTGCGATTTCACTTTTTTCATTTTAAATAGTGTGTAATGTTGCTGTTGGTGCATGAATAGTATTTGCAAAGTTGCAGCGCTGAAAGTTCAATGTAAGCAGAGATATCGTCTTTTAAAAATCATATACACTATACACTTATACTTATACAGTATACACCAACATGTGTGCCAATTTAGTCCCAATTAGTATACTTCGGGTACATAGATATTAGTATACTTATTACATAAAGAATAGTTAAAATAACTTGAACTTTACTTAAGTATTCTCTATGAAACTTGAAGTATACTTATTTTTTGTTTGAAGGTATGCAAGAGCAAATCCATTAAAGGATTTAAAGACCTACTGGTCTTTCTGCAAATGTTTTAAAGCAACACTTTAAATACATTCTGTTGCAAACTGGAAGGCATTGCAAATATATTCAAACCAGATTAATGTGCTCCTCTTTCTTATCCCTTCCTTCCCATGTTATAATATCTTTAGAATTTGTCATGCTGTTTTTTCTCACGGACGTAACAGCAAAGTTTGGGACCACCCCGCATCTTAAACAGATTGTCATCGGACGGTGTTATGAATATGTAACCCTGGTTAATCCCCACCCCAGGTAAGATGTATAAGCATTTTGCAAACTAATATTGCTTATTTAAAATGTCTAAATAGGGAAATGTAATAATATATTGTTTTATGAAGTCTGTTTTATATGATTTCATTGATATTTGCTGAGACAGTTCAGCTCTGCTATCTGGCTCATTACTTTCACGTTCATTAGCTAATATTGCAAGTCCTTGAAAATTTTTATTTTAAATTGTAGAAATTTTCTCTCTAACAGGTATAATTGTGAGGAGATATGGCAGGAGTTTGAAAAGGCTGTGGTTAGGAGATCACCCTGCGATGTGAGAGTTAAAGATTACCAAAAAATGTTCCTGGCCATCACTCAGATTTTACCATGTGGCAAGGTGATTTCTTTCAAGTGTTTTCAAATTAGAAACTTAACAACAGTATAGAAAGTTTAAAGTATTTAAAGTATTTAAAGATGTATTCAATCTTTAGATTGACACTTTAAAGCTAAGAATAAAACTGAGCTCAGAAGTTGGCTCAAGCAAATAGTGTCATGATTCTGCCTTCTTGTCCTTGATTTTCTCTAGTCGTGAGGCAGGATCATGACCGAATCATGTTTTGTGTGCAAGCGCATGGCCTGTTTGGGCCATGTGCTTGTGTTGTCTTACGTTACCCCGCCCCCTTGTTATCCTCGTCTTGTCATTATTGTCTAGTCAGTTTCACCTGTCCTTGTCATCATTAGTGTTCCCCTTTATAATCCCCTTGTGTTTGCTGTCCTGTGTCGGTTCATTGTTTGATGTTGTCATTTGTTGCGTGCGTACCTTGATAAACTTACCTGTGCTGTGAGTACCTTGATGAACTTACCTGTGCTGTGAGTACCTTGATAAACTTACCTGTGCTGTGAGTACCTTGTTAAACTTACCTGTGCTGTGAGTACGTTGTGAGAGTCTTGTCTAGTGTTATTACTGATCCTGTTTCTGGTTTTGATTTATAGTCTAGTTTGTCAAGTGTTAGTCTAGTTTAGTCATTCAGTGTTCTTTCCATGTTTTGCCCCCTCGTGGGTTTTGTTTTCCCCTTGTTTTCTGTATAGTTAAACGTTTAATCACTGCATCCAGTCTGCGCTTGGGTTCTCCTTCCGTCCACCTGACAAATAGTGTGAATGGGCTTTGAATTTTAAGTAAAGAAATAAAGCAAAACAACAAAAACAAGCCTGTAAGGAAATAGACACAGTATATGGTACATGTTGCACAAAGCTGGTTTCAGTGGCTAGGTGAATTCAGTTTGAGCAATCTTAGATTTTTGATGCTCAATAAGTTGGATTGGTTTAAGTGGTGTTCGTTACAATGGTAACTTGCGTTACATGTCTAACCTACTCCAGAACAGATTATTCTGGTTCAAAGAATTTTGTTGTTATCTCTGAATTATATTATTAATTGAATATCCTCAATGCATTACAGGAAAGCAATAATAAATGAGGAATTAAATTAATTAAAAATATAATTTTTATTTATATAGTTAATAATATAATACATACATATAAATTAAAGCTTTAGAATGTGTGTGTGTATATATTTATATATATAAATATATATTAATTATTTTTCATTATTCAATTTACTTTAGTTCAGTACACTTTATTGCCCCCAAGGGGAAAATTGTCTTGGTGCCCACATGCACATACACTGTCATTTAATCCCTCCTACCATGTAATACATTCAACGGTCTAACACATATTTATCAAAATACCTAAATGGCTAAACCACAACACAATTTTAAAATACAAGCATCATAGAAAAATCATCAGCATCATAAGCATAATAAGAAGTGATTTCATATTCTTCAAAAGTCTGATTAAAGTAAGTACAAAAGATTTCTTGGAACGATTTTACCTACACACTGGCAAACTATCCACCTTTTTCTGCGCCTGTTCTATTTCCCATGATTCATAGCGGGTTCAACTGACTAACCGGTTTTCCACTTCCTGTTGAAGTATTTGTTTACATAGAATGCTAGCACAGTCCAGACCACTCATCTATTGTCACAAACTGCTCCAGCCTTCCAGCACCAGAACCCATATTGGGTCTAACCATCTGTCGACCTCAGAACGACAACGACGAATCTCGAATCATCTCTGCTTGTATTGTGGAACCGTCAGCCATCAACTACTCACCTGTCCCATTCGTCCTCCCCGGCCAGCAGTGAGTACAGTTCGTCTCCCGTTATCCATCTCTTCTATGAAATATACACCAGTTACCATTACTTACCAACATCGATCTCCTCCAGTACAAGCATTGATTTACTCCGGTTCTACAGGCAACTTCATCGCGCTATCCACTCTTCAGCGACTCCAGACTCAACAGAGAGCTATTCCCCACAGTCTACATGTACAGTCCATCCTGGGGAAACCTCTTGGCTGAGGACGAATCGGACATCGTAGCCTGGATATGTTGTTGCAGATCGGCCATCTTCATCGGGAGGAAATATCGTTTCTGGTGCTGGAGGGCTCAACTGCTGAGATCATCCTGGGACGCCCGTTGTTAGAGAAACATTCTCCCAACATCCAGTGGTCCTCCGGTGAGATCTTGCAGTGGGGAAAGAACTGTTTCAGCCGTTGTCTTCTCTCAGTCAGAAAATCCTCACATCCATCATCTGTTCCATTATCCACGGTTTCCCTTGCATCCACTTCTGTCGAGAGTCCACCTGTAGAAAATCTACGCGAAATTCCCTCTCCTTACCGGGCGTTCCAGGATGTCTTCAATAAGCATATGGCAACCACACTTCCACCTCATCGGCCATGGGAGTGTGCGATCGACCTGCTGCCTGGGGCGGTGCTACCGCATGGTAAGATCTATCCATTGTCCATCCCGGAGCAGAAGGCCATGGAGGAGTATATCGAGGAGGCGCTACAACAAGGTTACATCCGTCCATCAACCTCCCCTGCCACTTCCAGCTTTTTCTTCGTTGTGAAGAAGGACGGAGGCTTGCGCCCCTGCATCGATTACCGGACTCTCAACCATGCCACAGTCAAATTCCGTTATACCCTTCCTCTGGTCCCAGCCGCGTTGGAACACCTGTTCACCAAGCTAGACCTCCGTAGTGCCTACAATCTGATTCGGTTTCGCAAAGGAGACGAGTGGAAGACCACGTTCATAACTCCAGCAGGGCACTATGAATATCTTGTGATGCGGTCTGTCCAACTCACCTTCTGTGTTCCAAGGGTTCATGTACGAGATCTTCCGTGATATCCTGAACCAATTTGTCATCATCTATATCGACGACATCCTCATTTACTCTGCCAACCTGCCTGAACACATCCGTCACGTTCAGTTTGTCCTCCATCATCATCTTTACTTAAAGCTAGAGAAATGTGAGTTCCATCAGAAAACCATCCAGTTCCTAGGCTATGTCATCACTCCTCAAGGTGTCACCATGGACCAGAGGAAGGTGGACGCCGTCACCAGTTGGCCTCGACCCACCAATATCAAGGAACTACAACATTTCCTGGGCTTTGCCAATTTCTACCGTTGCTTCATCAAGGGTTTCAGTCAGATCAGCGCTCCTGTCACATCTCTACTTAAAAGTGGGGCCAAGTCTCTGTCCTGGACCACCCAACCCACCAGCGCCTTCGAGGAGTTGAAGAGGTCCTTCAGTTCTGCTCCTACCCTCATCCTTCCTGATCCATTCCTCGTAGAAGTCGATGCCTCCACCACCAGGGTAGGAGCAGTCCTCTCACAGCGGCAGGGGAACCCACCCCGACTCCATCCATGTGCCTTCTTCTCCAAATAACTGTCCCCGACGGAGCAGAATTACGATATCGGCAACAGGGAACTGCTAGCCATCAAACTCGCCTTGGAGGAGTGGAGACACTGGCTGGAGGGAGCTAAACATCCGTTCATAGTCATCACCGATCACCGCAACTTGGAATACTTACGTGAAGCCAGAAGACTTAACACCCGCCAGGCTCGCTGGGCACTCTTCTTCACTCGCTTCAACTTCAAGGTCACCTACCGTCCCGGTCATAAGAATGTCAAAGCAGATGCCCTGTCCCGTCAATTTCAACCTGACTCCAGCCTGTCTGTTCCTGATACAATCCTCCCTCCAGCCCTAGTGGTTAGCCCCATCCAGTGGAGCCTGGACAACCACATCACCGAAGCCACCCAGTCAGAACCTCCTCCGCCGGGAGGTCCTGAGGGACGGGTCTATGTACCCACACGGTTACGTCTATTCCTCATGGAATCAGTTCATACATCCCCGGGCTCTGGACTCCCAGGCAGCCACCATACCCTCTCGCTCATCCAACAGCGCTATTGGTGGCCAAACACGACCCAGGATGTCTCCCGGTACGTGAAGGGCTGCTCAGTCTGCGCCATGGCCAAAGTTCCCCGCCAACTCCCGGAAGGAAAGTTCCCCTTCCTGTACCCACACGACCCTGGTCTCACTTAGGGGTTGACTTCGTCACCGACCTACCCGCTTCAGACTCTCATACATGCATCCTTGTGGTGGTCGATCGTTTCTCAAAAGCCTGCAAACTCATCCCCCTGGCCGGTTTGCCTACCGCCTTTGAAACCGCAGAAACACTCTTCCATCAAATCTTCCGTCACTTCGGCATCCCCGAAGATATAGTGTCTGACCGTGGACCCCAGTTTATTTCTTGAGTGTGAAAGGCATTCTTCAACCTGTTAGGTGTTTCAGTCAGCCTGATTTCCGGATACCATCCACAGTCCAACGGCCAGACTGAGCGGAAGATACAGGAGATCGGGAGATACCTACCAGGACTGCTGGAGTCGTTATCTCCCCAGGGCGAGTATGCACAAAATTCCCTTCCTCAACCTACTACCGGACTCACTCCCTTCCAGTGCATACTCGGTTTCCAACCACCACTATTCCCCTGGTCCGGAGAACCCCCCAACATTCCGGCAGTCCATCACTGGTTCCAGATGAGCGAGAGGGTCTGGGACTCAGCCCATGTACACCTCCAGCGGGCTATCCGGAGACATAAGAGCCAGGCCGACAACAGACATTCAGCGACACCTCAATATCAACCAGGGCAATTGGGCTGGCTCTCTACCCGGGACATCCGTCTCCGGCAGCCCTGTTGTTAGCTGAGTCCCAGATGTATAGGTCCGTTTGCCATACAGAGGCAGATCAATGAGGTCACCTACCGGTTATCACTCCCGGCTCACTACCGAATCTCACCCTCATTCCATGTTTTGTTGCTTAAGCCCTATACTAATCCTCTCACTCCTCCTTCCCCAGGGTCTGGTGCTGAAGATGTACCTCCTCCTCCCGTGGACCCTGACGACGACAACATCTAACGAGTCCACGACATCCTTGACTCCCAATGACGGGGAGGCCATCTGTAATATCTCGTGGACTGGGAGGGCTTTGATGCCGAAGA